GGGATGAAGCGGCTCCGGGTCTGTGGGCACCTGATAATGCAGCAATTTAATGACAGGGTCTCTTATTCTGATGAACACATTCTGCATCGCATCGGTTTCAGGGGGGCAGGGTACCCGTCTTACCTTTACTGGGACAAAACCATGGGAGACACTCTCCGGGTCCGCTGCGATTGGTGCGATCTCTCCTTTCTCCAGCAACTGTAATGATATATTTTGGGGTTTTTATAGACTTTTAGATACACGTCGGTATGAGTTTAACTACGAATGAAATGATCGCACTGTACACATGAAGCTGAAGTTAATTATGTTATATTTTGCCTTCCCTGGCTCCTCCCCCCTCCTCCTTAATTTTTATATTAAACCTTTCCATTTTTATTACATACCCAATTTTATACCTAGTGATGTCATCACTGGGTCTCTATGCAATGCAGGCAGATCATAGCTGGTGGGAGGAGCCAGCAGGGTGCTGTGAATATCTTCCGGAACACATAGCCTCAATACTCCTCTCCAGAGCTATCAGCCCTGATGCAAGCAGTGGGCGGCTCTTGGGAGGAGCTATGCAAATATAAAAATACCTTGATGGGTGGAGCAGTGGGCGGTCCTAGGCAGGCTGTATTTGCATGCAGGTACCGCCCACATGTGATGCTGAACCTCTATGATTGAAAGAACTGGAACGAAATAGAGAACAGCGGACTGTTACCTGGACTCCTGATAACTCTTCCAGCTCCTTCAAGGCTTTCTCCGTGTCCCTGACCAGCACGGTGGAGATGCCCAGCTCCCGGGCCGGTTTCAGGTTGGCACCGATATCATCCAGAAAGATGGTCTGAAAGACAAAATACAACCGTCCAATGTGGTCACCGGGGTGAGGAAGAAGGAGGAAATATCCGTGGCGGAGACACAGACAGCGCGCATCCATGTGCGGCCACCCGGACCTGAAATGAACGGTCTGGCACCTGAGATGGGCTAACAACACGCAGCATTGTGTGGACTAAAGAAATGGTGTCAGCCCTGCCCAACTGTATTTTGTTAAACAACTGAATCCCTTCCCCTCTCCTCGTCTCCACCACACAGAGGAGAATTGTTCTGTAGTCCAAGATACAAACCCTCCTGCGTTTACACCCTTGGGCCTGCGCTCTCTGTGCGCTCCCTTGGTCATGAAGGGAGCCGAGCTCCCACTAGAAGTCCCGA